AGGTGCCGTCTACAGGCTCAATCGCTACATCTCCAATATTCAAAATGGAATAAAATGAAGCATGCTCAAATTGTTAATGAGGGAATGACCAGAAATTGCATGTGTATGTGAGATGTTGAGCGGGAGGGGTGAGGATTGGGTTTTTTTAAGGAAATCAAGGAGAATGGAAGTAATGAAATCCGGCTCCCGATGGTCTCATTCAAATTTCTAAACGTGCCATACGTGTGTTCCTTCATGTTTGCAAGATGTGATAAAGTTTCGCTGAGAGGCACTCAGCAGTAGAAACACTTTTTTTTTCTCTCTCTTAGAAATGAATCAATGGAAACCTGTTGTTCCAGGAAAAAAGTTCGTTGTTGAGGCTGAAAAAAGTGCATTTCACTGTGATATATGAGTGTGTTCTGGGTTACAGTGGGTGGTATCTGAGTAACAAATGACAATGGCAGCACTCGGTGTTTTCTTGCATCTTCCGTAGCACTGCAAGCTTCACATCCGGGTAATCTGAGTGTTATTTATTGTTTCGAGATCGAAGGACGTTGACGGCGCGTTTATTTCTTTTGCAAAAAGTCCCATTATCCTAAATTCGATAAAAACTATCAAGGTCAAAAATTTAGACTTTGGCACTGTGCGAGAATTTCCGTAATTAATGATGTTTTCTAAAACGCTCGGAATACATATGGGCCAACTGGATAATTCACCGTTTATTTCTTCACCTATACACCCAAAAACTTTCCAGCTGCTTTGACCAGTGGTCGGCCTGCTGGTGTCCCTCAGGTTTGATTAAAAAATCCTAGAGATCCTAGTGATATTGTCTACTCAGCGATTTTTTTAAACAGTAAAAATACTCATGGATTTAAAGGTGTCACGGGCAATTCTGAGAAATGTTGATGGATAACAGCAAAAAAAGATTTCATGATGATCTCAACAGGGACTTCGTGAAGATCTGAACATGAAGAAGAACTTCACTATGGAGATTCTACTGCTTTTAGCCACGCAAAAACGGCTGAGGAGGAAAATGTTTTACACAAGCAATATACTCAGAGCACTGCTCCTTTTTTGGACAATTTTAAATAGATTTTTTTTTACTTGGCAAAAATCCCTTAGAAAAACTAATTATTAAAATGAATTCTTCTGGATGAACAGAGTGTTCAGAAAAACTGAACATAGGATTTTATGGGCCCAGTAATGTTCGAAGTTTTTCAGAAGCAAACAAGGTTAAAAATTTTGAATTTCTTATTCTTCTCGGGTTTTTTCTGGAAAAGAACAAAAGCTGCGCTAGAAACAGGTTATCGTCAAAAAAAAAAAGAACCAGAAGTGAAGAGAGGAGAGAAAGAGCTGTCAGCAAATCTGATACCTCCAACGGCGACAATGGAAGGAAATTTGCCGCATTAAATAAGAAAGCAAAAAAAGGCCAGCAATGCAAACGGGGGGAAGGAGCAACCGGGGAAGCGGAAGCTGCCGGGTGGGGTGAAGTGGGAAGGCGTGGAGGTGCGGGAAAGCAGGGAATGAAAAGGGACGCAAACAGGTAACAATGTTTGATTACCACTAACTATTATAACATCATTGAATCTGTTGCAAAAAAACGGGACCTTACTCAAATAGAATTCACTGATAAAACAGGTTTTTTTCTCCCATGTAGCATCGATAACATATGTGCAGGACAGGAAAATGCAAGCGAATTTCCCAATAGAAATTAGAGAGTCAATTTTTTTTCACTTTTCATTACAAAAATTGGGGAGAATATAAAAAATTTGATGAATAATACTTGTGAATGAAAAAAAAGTCGGTACATACGCATACACAAACGCACACACGCACACCCCCATAGATACAAACACACACAACTGTTCGAAAATATGCGTTTTTGCATTGCACAGATGCAAAAAAAATGGGTGAAAATGACACTCAGGTAGCCCAGGAAAACTTGGTGCAAACACAATGACAGGCGAGGAGGAAACCATCGACCGTCTTGTGAACGAAACATTAATACTGCAATCACTGAGATTATTTCGACGTGCATTTGTAACTCGCTGAAAAGCTCAGTAGCACAAAGAGTGTCTATCGCGTTATATTTATATTATGATTCTCAGTATTTTGACTTATTACTAATGTTAGTGTATTACTATTTCATTATTATGATTTATTATCATTATTATGATTTTGTTTGTTATTATTATCACTATTATTATTGTTATTATTCTGTTCTTATTTCTTCCTTTGTTACAAACATGTGCGGATTTTTGATTTTTTTTTAGGGAAAATACGCTGCTTTTTTTTGGCAAAAAAGATAGTTTACCAGCACAGTAGTACGAAAACGATGCCGTGGTTTATAGCATCACTGTAAATCCGATTATGACGCGCCTGATTTAAGACTCTCCGCCAAGTTTTCTGAATATTGTTAATGGCACATCAATTTTTTAAAAAACCTAAACTATCTATCCTGTGATAACATTAGTTGAGACTGATAACTTATATCACTGCATTACCTATCGCACACACACACACACACACGCACACATACATGCACACACAGAAACTAACACACACGCAAACGTACACACAAACAAATGCGCATGCACACAAATAAGCACATATACAAAAACAGGCGCGCTCATACACAAACACACTTATGCAACAAACACACAAACATATACAAACAAACACGCACGCACACACAAACACACACGTACACACACAGACACACACATACACAAACATGCACACACACAAAAAAAACGCATACCCACAAATACAAACAAACATTTATGTACACACAAACAAACAAACATGCATGTACATACAAACAAACATGTACGCACACATACGTAAACACACACATACAAAAACGCACAGACATACACATACCTACGCACTCACATAGTGCTTATATATGAACATAATTACTGAAATCACTCAGTACGTATGGAATCAGTCAGCGCAAAATTTTACTGCTACTGATACCAGTTATTATTCCCGGCCCTTATGACAGCGCATGAGGCCACTCCCTCTGTGCCACCGATAATTATATGTAGATCCAGAAGACTGTATGTACTCGTGACCGGCATAGGGACATGATTATGTAAAACAGAAATCGCGAATAGAATCTTGAAGTGCGACACTCACCGTTAACATCAGAATCCAGAAATCCGTATAAAATTCAGCTATTACACGTATCGCTTACAGTAAATCCAGAAAACACGCGCATTATGTACGTGAGCGCAACATACAGACGTACATATAGTTAATTGAAATCCTGTGATTAGCACGTTATCATATATCCTGGCATGCGGAAAATGCGGATTACTGAATGGTACCCAGAGAAGCATTAAAAGAACATGAAGACAGCTAATGCGGTGGAAGAACTATTCGCTTGAATGAGTATTATATGGAATTATGTGGATGAGAGAAGCCCAAAATAAGAAGAGAATGAGAGAAATTGCCACGGATAACAATGGCGAGACACGATGAAACAATAAAATGCAATGATGAAACAATAACTGATCAAAGTATTACACGGAAAGTATTCTAAATCTGCCCATACATATGTAGTGATATATAAACGCAGAATTCAAACAAACCCTCCTTTTTTTTCTGGAATGTAAAATGATAACCTCATATTACAAGGCAACATTAGGCAAAATCAACTAAACGGCGTATAAAAATACCACAGCTCGAAAGAGAAGAATAAAATGTCTACTCAATTTTAGCAGATGGAACGATGAATGTCATCTAATCACGCTATCAAAGTCATAATTTCATCGCTACCAATGTTATTTTCGCCAATTGATACATAAAGAGTATAACTGTCATTATCATTAACACTTCTTATCAAGCGTCTCATCATCGTTATCATTATCATCACTATCATTTCCACTATCACCAACACGTCATTGTCATCAGCACTGCACACCCAATGTATCTCATTATACCAATCACTCATTATCAGCACAGCCATTTTATTATTACCATTACCATTATCA